CGTTGAAATTTTCTCGTCTATCTCCGCGAGAAAGCTTAACGTTTTAACATGATAATAAAGACTTTTTCACTGTTTTACGACGATATTTTCTATACAAAAGAAGAAATGACTAAACACTAATATAAATTAACCGATACAACCTACCATTTGGTCAAGTACACTTTGACATTTGCATGACGTATGATAAAATATCTAAATCTGGATTATATACGCACGCGAATCCGTGCATCTTGAATAATTCAATTCTTTTTACACGGGTTGACATATATTAATGATTTCCTCATTATCGGCCACAACATAGAAAAAGAGCTTTCGCTCAATGATATTCAGCGCAATGCTCACTCACTTTGTTTTAACATTTACGATAGAGCCTTATTGCATCGAAAACGCATTTACTCTTATCTAGTGTGAAAATTACTTCGAAAGATTAAAAACTCTTAAGATCATGCAGTCGTCAACTTTCTCATCTTTTCCTAAGTACAATTTAATTGCAACAAATTATACTTTGCAGTATAATTTGTTGCAATTAAATTTGTTACAAAAAAATTACTTCGCGATAATTATGTCAATTGTGTTATCATAGAATAAGTAGTTTCTTGTAATAAGTAATTTTTTATTATTTACATTGTAAAAAATAAAATGTTAATTTTAACTTAAAGATGTTCAGTGGATTTTCTCAGACATGCAAAAATTAACATTTTTATAATGTTTTCATCAAGACAAGATTTCTTGTCTTAAAGAGTTTTCCTTGTCTTGATCTTCATTTCTTGATATTTTGTTTCTTGTCTTAAATTCAAGAATCTTGAATTTCTTGATTTTTTAGCAGTATCCTTGTCGTTTTTTGACTACATCATAAAAGATAATAAGAAAACATAGGTACAAATTGAATGTCATCTTGTAGTTTACTATGTTTAAAAGTGTTCATGGTTTAAAAGTGTTTCTATAATATCTATTATGCACAAATATATTACTAAAGATTAAAAATATTTTTTAAATTATCATTTTTAATATCATGAGGTTACTACCAAATGTAACTATTTCAGATTATTAGATTCCTAAGATTATTAGGTATAATTCTTATTATTATAATTACCATATATTTTAATCATTCTTGATTTAATTGATATTATTAGTAGAACTACATAAATGTTTATGCATAATATATTTTTACAAATAATCGTAATATTAATTTTATATATATTCCTTTATATAAATGTAAAGGTTAATATTGAGTACAATAAGGATGTATCGGTGAGTGTAATTTAATTTGATTAGATCAGGGACTTCACTTTTTCAATAATCGACACTCAGATGCTATTTTGCTATTTAATGAAAATGTATGCATATACATTTCTATACTATAACTTTATAAGTACCAATAAATACAATTGAAAATATTGAAACCTAATTTATCAAAACTTTTCAAATCAAAATAATAAAATATTAAAATAATAAAGTATAAAAATAAAAATTATCAATTCAAGAAATTTCTTGACTTATTGTCAAGAAATCTTGGTCTTGATAACAATTTCTTGTTTTGAAATTAATTTCTAATTTTTTGTTTTAGTCTTGTCTTGATTTAAAACAAAACCAAGTCAAGATTTTTTTTGAATTTCTTGATTTTGATGAAACACTACATTTTTGTGTTAATTTTAACATTTTTGCATGTCTCAGAAAGTCCATTAAACATCTTTAAATTAAAATCAATATTTTATTTTTTATAGTGTATTTTTTATTACTTATTTTAATTGACAGTCTCGGATGCTGTTTTGCGCAGAAAAAGAGGGCATCATCAAAGTATTTTTAATAAACATCATTAAATTATTACGCAATGATGTGATTGAGAGAGAGAGAGAAAGAGAGAGAGAGAGAGAGAGAGAGAGAGAGAGAGAGAGAGAGAACTACTGAGCAAAGTACTTGCTCCGAAATGCAATAAAATAAATGTGTTAATAAGACGTTATTGAAAAGTTAAACACAGCAACATATTAATTATAGTTAAAAAAACGCCCTGGTAACAGTAAATATAAACGATAATTCTTCTTAAAATTGATAATTCTTAATATATTCGCTAATTAAAATTCAGATTATTCGAAATATTTAAATGAAAAAATATTTATCTTTTATTTCATTATCATGTTTTAATATAAACATTATCATGTTTTAAACATTTTCTCTTGACATTCAATTGATGTACTTTGTATAGTATCGTTTTATCTGGAATGGAAAAATGCCGATGTATCTGAAATTTTAACTAGATAGATATGAAAATAATTTTTCTTCGACCATCAAAATAATTATATAGATGAAACTGATTGTTAGAATGTTGAAATCTTTGCGTTATCGTATGAGCATTCATAGTTATTTTAGCAATCCAACAAAATTATTTTTAGATTTGTATCTAGTTGAACTAGAAATACAGCAGAACTTGTTTCCGAGCAGAAACGAAAATAATTGATTCTTAATAACAGATGACACGTACAATTTATGAACGATATTCGAGAACAATAATCAAATAAGATTGCTTCTTTGTAATCATTCTCGTAGCGTAACTCGCAATATCAAAATAACTCAGTAAAAACAAATATTCATATATTATATGTTTTCAATATTACTGCTTTCAATATTACTATTAATAACACCTTTTTATATTATTTACTTATCGCGTTTATCTGTTGTTATCACACACCTGATAAACTAGACGAAAAATGGAATATGAAAAATGGAAAATGGAATCGTAAAATATGTATAAAATCTTGAAGTAAAATGAAAAATTAAAAAAGATATCTTTTATTCGTTTTATGTATTTAAATTATTAATTCATAATAATATCATATCTTGTGGACTATGATATATAACTTGACTAATTCCATATCGTTCTTCTTGGACAAATTGTTTCTTAGTATTGCACTAAAAAGATTTGCTTGCTGGAAAGATCGCTGCTATGGAATAAAAAAATCATTTTACTGCACGTACCGTCAATCTGTTCAGATGTATGTCCAATTCAAGTTAATTCCGTTGAATTGCTTTTTTCTTACTTTCAAACTGAAGAAGAACAGTGAAAAATGCGCAGAAATGAAAAATGCCAAATATTTTATAGTATCATTGCACGTGCGCCGAGACACTATCAATGTCTTTTAATAATAAATTTATTTATTTGAGAGCATAAAACTCTCTTGTCGTAAAAGAAAATACTGCGTATCCGCGAAAGCGTTCCGATTAAATAATCTAAATAATTTGTCGCACTAGTTTCGATCGCACCCCGTTTAATGGTGGTATGTACCATCGACGTACCATCGACGCGCGACATAGCAGACTGAATGTAATGATGGTACGACTTGATATTTTAACAAAAGTCGGTGGGGGAGTCCAAGGAACCTCCAGGGTACCCTTCTGCGGAACTGGATTTGTACTCAATACGTTGTATTGAGTTGCGTGTGGAAAACAAACAATCAGCGTTAGAAAAACAAAGCTGTAATAAAATGTTTTTAAATTAGAATTGCAAACAATTGCCGAGCAACTGTTCTTCAATAGTGCACAATCATCATAATTTTTAAACATCTCCGATATTTCCTGGTCAATTATTACTTCGATAAAGAGTTTAATTAACAGTTCAGGATATGAGATTAATATTTAGATAACTAAATATATTTTTTTATTTGAATTTTCAGAAAGTGTGGTTTGTTAAATATATCAGTTTTTGTAATATAATTGCTTTGTACTTCTTAATCGTACACATTTTGTAATATATTCTTATATATATATATA